TGCAGCTTCCATGAAATCAGGCACGGAAGGTGCAGGGTGAAATGCCCAGAAGGCTTTTGCTGCTGCTGTTGTATCTCATTGAATCTCTCTGATTCTCAGAGAGAGATTTTGTCATCCTTGTTTTAAAGGTGAGGAAACAAGCTCAGAGAGGTGAAGTGAGTTGCCCAAGGTCCCACAGCAAGTCAGCTTACAGAGCCAGGATTTAAACTCAGATCTGGGCCCTGAGTCCACCCTTCTTCTCTGTGAGGTTCTCTGGGGGGCGGCAGGGTGGGGCAGGCCCCCAGCTCAGCCACCTCCCATGCCCTCCTCTTGCAGGTCATCCTTTTTCAGTACTAACGCTGCCGGCACTTCCGCATCTGCCCGTGGGCGCCCCACAGCTGCCCCTCAGCCGCTGAGATCCAGTGTCCAAGCTGCGGCCAGGAATCCACCCACCTCCGCATCCACCCCCGTCCACCATCCTGCCCACCACCAGGTCGGTTCCTGAGGCCTGGCCTTTCCCTCTCCTGCTGAGAACCAGAACCCACCAGGAGCACCACAGAGTCCTCCTTTTGGAAGGCAGAACTCCCTGAAATCTGGAATCAGGGTGGAAACAGCCTGCTTTTCCCATTTAAACAGGAGTCCTCTTCAACTTCAGCTGATTACAATAGCAAAAGGCGGAATTGAGTTGTGCGACGCCAACGGCCTTCTAATTTACAGGTTTCCCCCCCCACGTTGGCCTTTATTTACTACTTCCTTGGAACCATCTCTGAATTCTGAATAGCTGACAACCCCCAATGTTATCCACTCTGTTGCTTTTGTCTGGAAAACTCTACAGTGTTTGTGGGATGTCCCCAAAGGAAAGCTATGTTCTAATTTTATCATTTCCATCTGTCTGGTTATGTCAAGTTAATTCAGAAAGAGAAGAGACAGTGACCAACCCTGAGAGGCCCAATAGGGCAGAGATGGAGGCCTGCCCAGACTAGGAGGCAGGGGGGATAGACAGGGAATGGGGAGAAGAAACACCCCCACTGGTTTGGAAATCAAGGAGAGGGCGGTGACATATTGGACCAGAAGAGGCACTAGCCATTTTAAGGAGAGGAAAGAGAAAACTCTGGGGTCAGGGAGAGACCCTACCCCTACCTAATTATCCAACGTATATGTAGGAAACATAGCAGAGATGGTATTCGATCTGTGCCATGACTCTTCTAAATGTTTGGACAGGTTAGAGTTGGGGACCCCTGTTGGCTACTTGTTGACCTCTCATAGTGGTGCTTGGGCCAGGTCTTCTCGATGGAAGGGGGATCCCTCATGGGGGAAAGGGAACAGAGCCCAGTGAAATGGTAGTCAGAATGTTAACCCTGGATCCATCTCTAAGTAGAGAGAGGGTGCCCATTGCCTAGGTGAGAGTGCCAAGCTCAGGATTCCAACTGGCACCTCTGAGCTTCCCCACCAATACTTCCTGGAGCCAGCCCCACCCACCCCTGAGAACAGAGGCCAGTCACAGCTGCATAACATCCATCCTGCTACAACTCTTCCACCCCAAACAAAAGGGCTCAGGCTACACATGACCATGATTTATGTTTTCAGGGGATGCCCATTTGTCCCAAGCTTATCCTGTAATTCTAGAACTACCTGGTGTCCTGATGCATTTTCCACTAGAGGTTACTAATCAGCATGTTTTAGCCCAAGTCTGCCTTCCTCCTGTGGTTAACCTGTTATGTTGCTTTTGGAAGGAGACTCTAGGACAGGGAAAGCAAGTTCATGGTACATACGCAGCCGTTGTCTCTGTTTTTACCCATGGCAGACGTTGCTAATCAATGGCAGCTCTATCTCACTAAGTCTGGATAAGGTTTCAGAGTTCAAATGCTTGAAGTTGGCACTTAAAATGAAAGCCTATATGTCATTTTTGCTCTGGGATCTACAGGCGGGCTAGGCACAGGTGCAGCCCAAGAAGGGAACCTGCTTCCTCTCCCTTCCAAAGATGGTGACAGCTGACTGAGGGCAAAGAACAGGCACCACTCAGAACGTGGTGAGTACAGCTCAGCTCAGCACTCAGCCAGTGGTAACTTGTGCCCAGCGCTGTGCTAGGCGCTGACATTAACAGGAGCAACCAGGGCCAAATCCCTGGCCTTGGGGAGCTCAAATCTTTCCTTTGATTTTTGCTCCTGATCATCAAGGCCCCAGTGGCAACCGTGTGGTAAGTGGCCAGCCAAGCCCTGCCCAGGGTCACCCAACACCCACTCTGCCTTGAGCCTCTCCTCAGGGTCTATTCCTTGCGTGGATTATGTGGTCGTAGCATGTTACAGTTCAAACATGTCTCCACTACCCTGTTAAGAGCAGCCTGGGAACGTACAGGCCATCAAGACTATTTATTTAAATACAAAAAAAAAAAAAAGGGGGGAAAACACACACACAGAGAAAAAAATTGTAAGCACTTTTTTTGTAAAACCAATGTCTGTTTTGTTACATACCTTTCATGTCGTGCTTTGTAAATGTCTTATTTGTGTAATAAAGTTAATGCAAGTAGAAGTGCTGGCACTAAAATCCAGAACATGATGGGATTCCATGTCTTTCCTGCTCTCTGGTGAAGGGCTTAGGTCCCTGGCTCCCAGAATACGTGCGCTGCTGGACAGTGTAATCCTCCTTCCTGGGAAACTGGTACTATTTCCCAGTTAGTAAACAATGCATTGTAGAGGCCTGATGATGGATTTCTTCTCTAAGTACTCAGTCACACCTGCTTCTTATCTAAGCTTTGGAGGGAATCAGGCTGCTTGATGCCCTCTGTTCCAGTCTCTGAACACACACTCTCTACTGGACCCCGCGCTGGCTCTGCACTCTCAGAAAAGGCTCCCAGCCAGACCCTGCCCTGGAGGAGCTCTCGGTCTGGCAAATACTGTGAGAGCCAAGGGGGTGGGTATTAGAGCTGGATCGTAGCAGACGAGAAGGTCACAGAATAGGTAAGCAAGAGGGTGGGGCAGGGAGGGAGGTGCAGAGGAGCCTATTTGGAAGATGGGGAAGCATTTAATAGGGTGAAGTTAAAGGAATATGGAATGGGCAGCAGGGCCCCAGCTTCTGCACAAGACTGGGTCTTACAGTGGTTTTGTCAGGCTCCAGAGCCACCTCGTAACCTGAGGAGTGAAAGAGCATCTTTCTGGTGGTTGTCAAATTTCTTTCAGCAGCAGAATCATTTGCTCAAGCTAAAGCTCCTGGTGTGGAGAGCAGAGCTGCCCTGCAGAATGCAGAGGCTTCCCTGGCCTGCTGTGGCCCTGCACAGAAATGAGTTGCTCAGAAACCTCAGCCCATGGTGCACATGAGTCACTGACTGCAGGGCCCCTCTCTTTATTCTATTAGTTTTTAAATCTGCCATCCTGACCCCATTTCTTGCTCCTCATACATCTGCTCTTCCAATCCATTTTCAAATGTTTAGATACATGTGTATCTTTGAAAATATGTGAGTTTAGTTGTGTGTTTCTTTACATGAATGTCCCTTCTGTTTTCAAAATACAGTTTGGAAACCACCAGTGGAGCTCAACTCTATCTACCAAGGTTGACTGGCGTCTTGGGGAGAGGTGATCATCCCAAGTCTGCTCCCTGGTGCAGCTGAGAGTGAGCCCAGGCCTCCCTTCCCGCTGCCTCCTGGTTCTGCCCCAGCATGACGCCTCCAGGTCCCTAGTTTGAGATCCAATTTCCTCTCCTGCCTTCCAAGCCTGACTCACTGTTCTGCCTCCACTGGGCAGCCCTGGTGAGCCAGGGGACAGAGCACAGGGGGTGACAGGATCTAGCAACCTCTAAGGAGGAACAGTTAGACAAAGATCCAGGATGCATATGGCCCATGTGTGGCCCTGGAACATGTTGTCGCTTCCTCTTCTGATTTTTAGCTGACAAATGTGACCACCGGGATGATTTTGAGAAACGATTATATGCACCACTAACAAGTTGTTCTTTCAAGCAAACACATGTTGAATACCTACTATGCGCCAGGTCCCTTACTTGTATTATTTAACCACACGGCTACTGTATTGTTTTAAAGCATTATTACAACCATTTTTTATATGATGCCAAAGTCACAATCTTTTTTTTTTTTTTGAGACAGAGTTTCGCTCTGTCACCCAGGCTGGAGTACCATGGTGCAATCTCGGCTTACTGCAACTTCCACCTCCTGTGTTCAAGCAATTCTGGTGCCTCAGCCTCCCAAGTAGCTGGCATTACAGGCACATGCCACCATGCCCAGCTAATTTTTGTATTTTTAGTAGAGATGGGGTTTCACTATGTTGGCCAGGCTGGTCTCAAACTCCTGGCCTCATGTGATCTGCCCGCCTTGGCCTCCCAAAGTGCTGGGATTAGAGGCGTGAGCCACCATGCCCAGCCTCCAAAGCCACATTCTTTCTATGGCACCATGCTGATTCTGTGCTTAGGAAATGGGGGAGCTGCCAAGAGGGAAAGACAGGCCTGAGTAATCATTCTTGGGCCTAACAAGCTTGTCCAACCCACCTTATTTGTTGTTGTTGTTTTTCTGTTCTGTTTTGTTTTAGACTTTCAGCAGCCTGAAGCCATGGTTTTTAGTTTCTGTCTCTAGTGATAAGCGGAAAAGAGGGATGAGGAAGGGGCTTCACTGGCCCAACCAGAAACAGAAACTAAGAACCCATGACTGCTGCAGGACTGGGCACAGTGATCAGGTCCTACTGCCCTCTGAGACCAAGCAAGTCACTCTGTCTCTCTGAACTTCAGATTCCTCATCTGCAAAAGCCTTCCCCTTGCAAGGCTGTTTTGAGGAGTGGAGATAATGCACACACACTACCTGCACCGGTTAGTGCTCAATTACGTCTATGTATTATAAAGAGATGGTTCTCAAACGTTCAGATGCATGCAAAATGCTGGGAGTGCAAATTACTGGGCCCCATTCCCAGAGATTCTGATTGGGAGGTCTAGGGTGGGTCCTGGGAATATCTATAGCTCACAATTTTGTCTAGGTGAAATGATGCCCACTGAGAAACAATCTTTTAAGGCAAATACACTTGGGGCCACTGACTGCAGAAAGTCTTTATTCCTAAGTTAAAAGTCAGGTTCTGTCCCCCAGGGCAGCCAGTGCCAGCAGGGCAGATGGAAACCTCTGGTGGAGGCAGCCACAGAGTTCACAGCTCGGGCCTGTGACTCAAAATCTCGTCCTAGCCCTTTCGACAGGTACGGGTGATCCACTCGTGCTCGTCATCATCTGCAAGGAAAGAGGAAGAGCTGGTCATGCTTGGTGCTCGCTGGGACCTTCCCTGGCCTGGGGGGTTCCCAGGTAGGGCCTTGGGACTGGGATGGTCTGTGGATGGCCAGTCTGTTTAGCTTTGTGTGGGGAGGAACAGACCTTTCATTTACACTGAATGCCTCGGAGTGCTTGGTCTTGGGGAAATTGAACACAGAAGGGTTTCTAACTGGGTGCTGCTGGTGGAGGCAAGCATGAGACGGTCTGGCCACCCTAAGCTGGACTCATCCTCACAGGCAGAGAGCAGCTGCTTCACAGTTGGGCACTTGCCTGGTCTGACAGCCCACACACGATAGCCCCAGGACAGCGGGTCTAGGCCTTGCTGGTGGTGCTAGGAGACAGAGTCCTGAGGTTTTCATTTCCTTTCTAGGCTCTCCATTCTTGACCCTTTCAAGGACCCATGGTTTCCCCAGGGGACTAACACCCTCTTGTTTACTTCAGGCCTTTCAGTGGGGAATGGAGAGGAGCAGGAGCTCCTGGCTGTGCCCTGAAGGCCCTAAACGCAGTGTCTCCTTAGTTTAATCTTCATGACCAACCACCCAATGGGCAAGCCTTCTCCACCATTTTACAGATGAACAAACAGACGCTCGCAGAGGCCAACGCACTTGTCCACAGCCACAGGATCAGTATGTGAGAGAGCTCAGACTGGAACCTAGGATTGTCCAGCTATAAAGCCTATGCTGTTTTTTAAACCTCAAATAGAGAGACTTGAATCACATTCTTCAGTCCACAGCATGCTGCCATCATCTCTCTGTACAAGACCCTTCTGTGGATTTACTTTATTTTCATTTTTCCTCCTTTCTCCTCCAAACCCACACTGGGTCCCTCCTCCACCACTACAGGGACTTACTCCAGTGGTGGGATAGAGACTCCTCAAAATGCATGCTGCTCTGTAAAATATGTGCTGTTGTTTTGTGTACAAGTGTGTTTTTAATTTACAGAAATGGCATTGTGCTGTGGCTTTCATTATGTCTCACATTTTTCACTCAAGACCTATTCTTGTTGCTGTGTGTACATCCAGCTCTTTGCTTCTTACTGCTACCTAATATTCCATGCTTGGCTTCCGTCACATTTTCCTCTCCGTGCTGGTGGTGGCTGCGGAGGTTGCCTGCAAGTCCCACTACCAGGAACAATGCTGGGACAAGCGTTCTTGGCCACACCCCTTCATGGATATGTGGAGAATGTCTCTTGGGGTTACATTCCTTCCAGGAGGAGGGTCAATGAGTCCTGCACATCCTTCCTGCAACGTCCTTCCAGCTGCCCATACTCTTTTCACACCACGCTGCCTCCTCCCTGCCTTCCTGCCTTTCCACCTTCCCGCCACTCCTCCCTTCCCTTGGTGCCACTCCCTGCCTTTAACCAGTTCTCCTGAGGGCCAGAGCACTGGAGGAGTTCTTGCCTCCTCTCCTTTCCCTGTGTCTAGCCCAGTGCCTCCTGCCTAAGAGATGGGAGGATAGGTCTGCCCACCCTCCTTGGGTGACAAATGGCAGATGCTTGGGAACAAGGGCACTCCCTGAGAGCTGAAACACAGAGGGCCGGCGGAAAGCTTCATGAATCAGATCCCCTGCTAGGGATGCCTTCCTTTTCTGTGAAAGGCACCAGACCCAGGGCCAGAGAGATGGAAGTTCACAGACAGCCTATGTGTGCTTGGTGCTTTGCAGACACTGTGTCTCATTGGATCTCTGTAACAGCCCAGTCGGGTAGGGGAGAGCCTTGTCCTAAGTCCATCGCCAGTGGATTCAAACCAAGGTTCACCAGGCTCTGCAGCCTGACCTCTCACCCCAGGGCAGATGTGAGCACGTCAGGAGCTGAGACTGCCCCCATATCACTAACCACCTCCCCACCATTTCTTTACATGAGACCTAAGGAAAACAGCTTGCTGCCTGGCACACTCTGGTAAGCAGCCAGTGAGCCTCAGTTTCCTCTGGGGAGGCTGCCTGGGAGTCCCCGCTGAGGCTGGGAAACCCAGGGGTGGGGAAAGCAGCGATGATGTGTCAGCACACAAGGAGTTAAGCGCTGGTGGAGCCCACTTTTGCCACACTGTGAGCAGCCTGGTTGATAATTACAGTTCTGAAGTCTCCAGGCTATTCGAATCAGTGCAGCTGCAACCTCTTCAGCAGTAACCCCTGAAACCAGACAAACTGGGTTTATTGTGCTGAACCAGTCCTCAGGCCCCTCCCTGATCGTTAAAAATTGACAGCAATGGACTTAACAGCCCTCTTCACTACCCCTTTCACTCTCTACCTGGCTGTACAGCCACCAATTTGAATCACAGATGCCTCCCCTCCCAGCAGCTGCTCACCAACCCTCCCTTCGCCTCCCCTGCGCCTCTCTGCGGCTCCCCTGGCCCTGCCACGCCAGGGTGAGGCTGCCGAAGCACATTTCATCAATATTTAAAATGGAATTAAACCTGCAGCTTTGATTAATGCCTCCCAGATCCTGGGAGTTGTGATTACTATTTTGCAAATTGCGATTGTTGGAATATGTTAATATGATTGTCTGAGAACATCTTCACCTTCTCAGATAATTTCTTCCCTTTTTGGTAGGAGGGGAGAGGGAAAGGAGGGAGAAAAAAGATGGGGAAAAAAACACCCCACAAACTCTTTAATCAATTGTAAATTATTACCCTTGGCACAACTGCTGGTGGTGCAGAGAGATGGAAGATTTCTGGTTTGGTGCATTGATCTTAAAAATTTTTGGTCCCTGCTGGCATGGTAATTCCACTCTGGGACACTATCTTAAAGGGATGATCTATTTGTCTCGGAACTATTTAGAATCAGGGAAAAGGAAAATGATGTACATTTCTAAAAATGAGGGAATGATTATTTTGTTGTATGGGCATTCATTTAACAAATAATTATGTACCAGGCATCGTGCTAGATTCAGGGAGTGGATACTGTAAGACACGTGAGGGGATATTTAACAGCTACTGAAAATAATTATTATGAAGTTTGTATAGCAGCATGGGGGAAATGTTTTTGATGTGATAATAAGCAAAAGAAAAATGGCAAGAAGAGACAAGAAATAAAAGTACACATAGTATATCCTATGTAATAACTGTGCACAGAAGAAAAATTAAATTGAAATGTGAATAATAGCCCTGCATAGTGGGACGAGAGTTTCTCTTTCTGCTTTTATTTCCCAAATCTTCTTTCACTAATGGGTATTGACAATAGAAAAAAAAATTAACATAATTATTGGCCTTTGCCAGGCACGGTGGCTCACGCCTGTAATCCCAGCACTTTGGGAGACTGAGGTGGGTGGATCATGACGTCAAGAGATCAAGGCCATCCTGGCCAACGTGGTAAAACCTCATCTCTACAAAAATACAAAAATGAGCCGGGCATGGTGGCAGGCACTCGGGAAGCTGAGGCAGGAGAATCACTTGAGCCGAGGAGGCGGAGGTTGCAGTGAGCCGAGATTGCGCCACTGCACTCCAGCATGGCGACAGAGCAAGACTCTGTCTCAAAAGAAAAAAAAAAAAAAAAGTCTGGCTTTTTTCCTACCCTCCAATTTAATGTCTTGGTAACTTCATGCATTTTGTTAATTGAAATAAGATACCTCAGCTGGACGTGGTGGCTCACAACTATATTCCCAACCCTTTGGGAGGCCGAGGTGGACAGGTTGCTTGAGCCTGGGAGTTTTAATCCAGCCTGGGCAACATGGCAAAACCACCTCTCTACAAAAAATAGAAAAATTAGCTGGGCATGGTGGCAAGGACCTGTGGTCCCAGCTACTCGGGAGGTTGAGGTGAGAGGATCACCTGAGCCTGGGGTGATTGAGGCTGTGGTAAGCTGTGATCGCCTGGGTGACAGAGTTGAGATCCTGTCTCTAAATAAATAAATAAATAAATAAAATAAAAGTTCTGGGTTCCTAGAAATACCAACAGGGTTCTTGAACTCCTGAAAAGCAAAAAGACCTTGCATAAAGATACTGGCAAAAATGCATAAAAATCAGAATATATAAATCCATGCAGGAGAATTCCAAGTAATTTATGTACTCTGTCCTCAAAGAGTTGGAGCACAAATCCCCACTTCTGAAGCATGGCTGTGCGTAGTGACTTTCTTTTTTTTTTTTTTTTTTTTGAGACGGAGTCTCGCTCTGTCACCCAGGCTGGAGTGCAGTGGCCGGATCTCAGCTCACTGCAAGCTCCGCCTCCCGGGTTCCCGCCATTCTCCTGCCTCAGCCTCCCGAGTAGCTGGGACTACAGGCGCCCGCCACCTCGCCCGGCTAGCTTTTTGTATTTTTTTAGTAGAGACGGTGTTTCACCGTGTTAGCCAGGATGGTCTCGATCTCCTGACCTCGTGATCCGCCCGTCTCGGCCTCCCAAAGTGCTGGGATTACAGGCTTGAGCCACCGCGCCCAGCCCGTAGTGACTTTCAAAGAGTACAGTATGGAAAGGGAGGAGGGGAAAGTAACTTTATAATGGAGAAACCTCACAAACACTACCTCAGTCAGGCGACCAAGGTTAACAGCAACATTGGTAAGTCGTGGTGACAGTCTGGACCCTTGATAGGATGGGATGAAAATGACACTTTACTTCTGTGATCTTCTTCCCAAACCCACAACTCCAATCTAATCATGAGAAAAAACATCAGACAGATTCCAGTTGAGGGGCATCCTACAAAATATCTAACCAGTACTCCCCAAAACTGTCACCAAAAACAAGGAAAGCCTAAGAAACAGCTATGCCCCTGTGGAGCCTAAGGAGACAGGATGGGATCCTGGAATAGAAAATGGACATTAGGAAAAGGCATCTGTAAAAAGTATGGGCTTTAGTGAATCATAACATCAATATTAGTTCACTAATTGTGACAGATGTTCCATGAAATGTAAGATAGTCATAACAGGGAAATTGAGTGTGTGGTGTATTAACAACTGTGTAGTATCTTTGCGAGAATTCTGTTAATTTAACTGCTTTCAAATAAACAGTTTAAGAAATACATGAAAATCTAGAGCGC